GCAATACTCAAGGCGCAGCCTCACCACAACTGAGGACAAGGGGACAGGGGGACAATTACTTCCTTGCTCCTGCTGGCTGCACTATTTCTGATACAAACCAGTTTGCCATTGGCCTTCTCGACCACTTGTGAACACTGCTGGATCATGTTTAGCTGAGTGTTGACCAGCACCTCCACATTCATTTCTTCTACAGAGTCCTCCAACCACTCTGCCCCTAGCCTGTAGCACTGCCTTCTTGTAGCCAAAGTGTAGGACTTGGCACTCAGTCTTGTTGAACTTCATCCCATTGGCCTCAACCCAGCTATTCAGACTTTCCTCTGAAGTGCTTTCCTATTCTCAGAAAGACCGACACTTCCTCCCATATTGGTGTAATCTGCAAACTTATTGAGGATGCACTCAATCCAAAACGTCATCCAGGCTATCAATAAAGATATTGAACAGGACAGGCTCCAGTACAGAGAGACTCCCAGGCCCCTGGAGAACATCACTTGTGACTGATTACCAGCTGGATATAACTCCATTCGTCAACACTATCTGAGCCTGGCCATCCAGTTAGTTCTTTACCCATGTTTACCTGTACAAACCATGGGCTGCCAGCTTCCCCAGGAAAAATGGAGGACAGTTTCCTAGCCATGGAAAAATCTCTTTGCCCATGTTCCTGAAAATGAACATATTTTAGATTTGTGGTGAAGATTATGGGCTAGAATGGCCTATCTGGCATTTATGCAAGAATCAAACACTGCCTTGAGCCCTCATCCACTGAGACGTTTCCTGCAAGTAAGTAGGTAAAGACTGAGGCATTACTCAGCTCCTGATTCAGACACACTCCTTTAGGTGTGAGCTGCTTCACACCAGCTTTCTATGCTGGGGCAGGTCAGCTTGCCTCCCTTAGGAACCAGTTCCATGCCCCAGGCTAGCAAAAAGCACTTTGTTCAGAAGAACTTCAGCCTCTGACTTTCCTTTTGTTTTAGTTGACTTTAGTTCATTATTAGTCATTGTTGTGACATCAACAGTAACCAAAGGCTGCTCTTTCCTTATCTCCACTAAGGATGCAAAATACGAATCCCACATAGCACAACAAAAATTCACATTTTTCCTTTCCAGTGATGTTATTTAATTTACATTGATTGATTAGATATTTACCTTCTTCACAACAAACCACAGAGACCAACACAATTGCTCTAGGTACCAACTCCAGCCCATTGAGTTACATTATCCCTGAGTCTGGGCTTCCTGGGATCTTCCGGCTTTCCTCCTGGCTGCATGTCAGCTCTTTAGCACAGTTCTAACATATATAATGATAGTGGCTGTCCACAGGAATAACGAACCATTCTCTACTGGTCACACAAAGTTAAAATGTGTTGATCATTTTGCTTTTCCTGTCCTGTTTCCTTTTTGTAAAATAAGGGACCATCACTGTTCCTTTCCTTAGTCTTTCATTTGTTCATCTAGTTTGACTACACATCAAAATCATGGTGGAGTGGGAGAGGGGTTTTTACAGTGAATGTGCAATAATTCACACCTGGACTGGAACATGGCTTTTTGGACATGAGAGGTTGCTGCGATATGAGAGCAGCCAGTAGGCTGGGTGTTCCCATCAGAAAGTAACAAAAGGGACCACTCAACAAAAGGTCCTGATCACTATTTTCTCAAGGTGTATTTTCCAAGCACTGCCATTTTAGTGAAACTGAAGAAATATATTCACTATCTTTAACTGTTTACCTCAACTCTACCATAAGGTGTTCTGCATACTGTGAAATACCTGTTGTTTTTAATTCCAAGATTAAAATAAGTATTTTTCTAGTTACTAAAGCATCTGGAGAGCTTCTAGGATGAAAATGAATACAGAAAAAGAGAACATTAGCTATTATAATAGACAGCTGTCAGTATGTTATGAACCATCCTACTACATTGACAAAGGGTCTTGAGAACACTGGCCTTAAATTGAAGAGTGTATTTTACAGTACCAAGAACGCTGCTAATATCGATTCAAGTGGAGCAATCTAATCTTTTCATTGTGGCACTACTGAAAATCTGGTTCTTGTACATCAGTGAAACTATGTCTCTCAAAGTTGGCAGCACTAAAAATAAAAATCCTTACATTTTTTCATTAATTAAAAAAGGCTTACAATTGCATTAACAATCCTTTCACTGGAGTGTGTCATTTGGGTAACGGCAGCCTAGCACATTAACTTCCCTTGGCTTTGCCTTGGCCTTGTCACTCCTCCAACTGATTATTACCTAATTTCTAAAATCTCCCAAATGGGTCATTAGCTCTTAAATACATTTCTCCTGCTACTTGATATGTACCCTAGAAAAACAGGCTGTCGGAGAGACTGGCTTAGAAGTAGCTTGTTCTGGGGGAAAAAAACTTAAAGAAATGCCAGATTAAAATTAAGTTTGTGAAATGAATCATGGCTTGAAATACCCTCAAAACAGGATTAAATAAGATGCTACACAGAATTTTCTTCCTGCAAGAGAGGAATGGCATCAGAACATACGTAAGCATATGTGCTCTTGCAAGCACTTACAGTTCCTGCTGCTTCCAGGCCAGAACAACAATCATGCAACCAGTCAATCACCTCATGAGCTAGGCTATAAAACCCAGAAGATTCATGGGATCAAGTCCTGTGCCCCAGCCACAGTAACCTTCCCTGTCTTCCCAATTCAGCCTACAAACTGTGAGCAAAGGCAGAGCAACCTGAGACCATAAGCAAATAAGTAGCATGCAGTCTAAGTATACGAATTGCCCAAGGCACTGCTATATTCAGAGACCGAATTAGTGAGATCGTCCACTGCTAAGGAAGAAAAGCAAAAGATCATTCGTTCTCTTTCAGCCAAAGGTTATATTTTTGCATTTTTTCTTACTTCACAGTCTGATGTAGGGCATGAGACTGAAATAAATCTATATGACTGGGTAAAAATGCCTTGTATGAACCCACTCACCTGCAAGCTGTGTGAAGCAGAATAAATGACTACTGGCCAGCAATATCTGAACTGCAGGCAGTTTGAACACAGAAGTGTTGAATAAGTTACACGTTTCCACACAAAGAATGTAACACTGAAGGTATAACAACATTTCAACTTTTTCAACAGAATTCAACTTCAGTATTAGCAAGTGCTCCCATTTGTTTATGCAGGTTATGTTTAAGTTCTCTTCCTTCACTTCCGTGAATCTTTCACACTCTCAGTTTACTTACTTATTTTCAGTGCAGTCACCATTTGTTTTTCAAAAGGGGTTATTGTAAGAGGCATTAATTTTACCTAATTTGCTTTAAGGATGCCATCTGTATTCTTTATGCTCTTAGCAAGAACAAGGTAAGGTAAGAAGGTAAGAAGGGGAAGTGGACAAAATGAGGGCCACTGGGGTTGAGCGGGTAGTTCGAGGCTCAACACAGAGCTTGATGGGTGATGAAGGTGGAGTTCAAAGGGATGGAGAGGGGAAGGGGGATGCTGCTTCCCTAATGTTGTCATGGAGGGCTGTGTGCTTTTTAGGAAAGACCGGCCGGTGAGGTGGGTGGTGGAGTTGCTCTTTATGTGAGAGAGCAGCTTGAATGTATTGAACTCCACCTGGGAGAGAGTGGTGTAGCAGTGGAGAGCTTGTGGGTGAGAATCAAGGGGCGGGCTGGTATGGCTGACACGGCTGTGGGTGTGTGCTACAGGCCCCTGATCAGGAGGAGGAGGTTGATGAGGCCTTCCATAAGCAACTGGAAGTAGCCTCACAATCCCAGGCACTGGTGCTTATGGGGGACTTCAACTATCCACATATTTGCTGGATAAGCAGCAAGGCCAGGCATGTGCGGTCCAGACGGTTCCTGCAATGTGTTGAAGACAACTTTCTGATGCAGGTGGTGGAGGAACCAACGAGGGGTGGGGTGTTGCTGGACCTTATTCTCACTAACAAGGAAGGGCTTGTCAAGGAAGTAAAGGCTGGGGGCAGCTTGAGTTGTGACCACGAGATGGTGGAGTTCAAGATCCTGAGTGGAAGGAGCAAAGCAAAAAGTAGGATTGCTATCCTGGACTTTAGGAGAGCCAACTTTGATCTCTTCTGGGACCTACTTGCAGCTATCCCGTGGGCTAGGGTGTTAGAAAGTAAGGGGGCCTGTGAGAGCTGGTCAGCATTTAAACAGCTCTTCTTCCAAGCTCAGGATCAGTGCGTCCCTGTGAGCAAGAAATCAGGAAAGGGTGGCAGGAGACCTGTGTGAATGAGCAAGGAACTCGTGCGCAAACTGAAAGGAAAGAAGAAGCCCTATGAAATGTGGAGAAAGGGTCTGACCACTTGGGAAGAATACAGGAATGTTGTCAGGGCCTGCAGAGATGCGACGAGGAAGACTAAAGCCCACCTGGAATTAAATCTGGCTAAAGTGATAAAGGGCAATAAAAAAGGCTTTTTTAAGTATGTTAACAGTAAAAGGAAGACTAGGGAGAATGTGGCTACCCTGCTAAGTGAGGGGGGTGTTCTGGTAATGGGGGATTACCCTGACTGCCTTCTTTGCTTCTCTCTTCAGTGAAAAAGCTCTCCCTCAGGAATCCGAGACCCTGGAGGTTAGTGAAAGGGTCTGGGGAATGGAAGACTTCCCTTTAGTCAGGGAAGAGGTGGTCCGAGAGCATCTAGGCAACACCAATGTTCATAAATGCATGGGACCTGATGGGATGCATCCACAGGTGCTGAGGGAGCTGGCAGAGTTGATTGCTGAACTGCTCTTTATCATCTTTGAGAGGCTTGGAGAATGGGGGAGGTGCCCGAAGACTGGAGGATAGCCAACGTCACTCTATTCTTCACAAAGGGCAAGAAGGAAGATCCAGGTAATTACAGGCCAGTCAGCCTCATGTCTGTCCCTGGAAAAGTGATGGAACAGCTGGTGCTGGATGCCATCTCCAGACAACTGAGAGGAAAGGAGCTTATCAAGAGTAGTCAGCATGGGTTCACCAGGGGGAGGTTGTGTTTGACCAATCTGGTAGCCTTCTACAATGTTGTCACTGGCTGGGTGGATGGGGGTGAGCAGTGGATGTAGTCTACCTTGATTTCAGCAAGACTTTTGATACTGTCCCCCACGACATCCTTATAACAAAGCTGAGGAAGTGTGGGATAGATGAGTGGACAGTGAGGTGGGTTGAGAACTGGCTGACTGGCAGAGCACAGAGGGTCGTTGTTGGCGGTGCAGAGTCCGGTTGGAGGCCTGTAAGCAGCGGTGTTCCTCAGGGGTCTGTGCTGGGTCCGGTCTTGTTCAACATCTTCATCAATTACCTTGATGAGGGGATAATGGCCACCCTCAGCAAGTTTGCTGATGATACAAAGTTGGGAGGATTGGCTGACACGCCTGAAGGCTGTGCTGCCATTCAGCGAGACCTGGACAGGCTGGAGAGCTGGGCAGTAAGAAACCAGATGAGATTCAACAAAAGCAAGTATAGAGTCTTGCATCTGGGGAGGAATAATTGCACGCAACAGTACAGGTTGGATGGCCTGCTGGAGAGGAGCTCTGCAGAGAGGGTCCTGGGTGTCCTGGTGGACGACAGGTTGGCCATGAGCCAGCAGTGTGCCCTTGTGGCCAAAAAGGCCAATGGCATCCTGGGGTGCATTAAAAAGAGCGTGGCCAGCAGGTCAAAGGAGGTGATCCTCCCCCTGTACTCTGCCCTGGTGAGGCCTCATCTGCAGTACTGCATCCAGTTCTGGGCTCCCCAGTACAAAAAAGACAGGGATCTCTTGGAAAGAGTCCAGCGGAGGGCCACAAAGATGGTGAAGGGCCTGGAGCATCTCTCCTATGAGGAAAGGCTGAGTGAGCTGGGTCTGTTCAGCCTTGAGAAAAGATGACTGAGAGGGGACCTGATCAGGTCTATACATATCTGAGGTGTGGGGGGCAGAATGGGGAGGCCAGTCTCTTTTCAGCAGTGTGTGGAGACAGGACAAGGGGAAACGGCCGGAAACTGCAGCATAGGAAGTTCCGCACCAATGTGCACAAGAACTTCTTTACAGTGAGGTGACGGAGCACTGGAACAGGCTGCCCAGGGAGGTGGTGGAGTCTCCTTCTCTGGAGATGTTCAAGACCTGCCTGGATGCCGACCTGTGCGACCTGCTGTAGGGAACCTGCTTTGGCAGGGGGTTGGACTCGATGATCTCTGGAGGTCCCTTCCAACCCCTACAATTCTGTGATTCTGTGAAGATGGGATGACCATTGAGAAGTAAAATCATTGTTTGGTATAGCCCAATATATATGGATCTGCAGAACATATTAGCATACTAAAATCAACATCCTCACTGGAGTTTTCATATCAAACAAATAGCTCTCAATCACTATGAAATTCTCAAACTGTTATTTCCCTAATTTTCCACTGGAATACGTGATCTGTAGATAGTTATGCAGTACCTTTATGCAATATCATCAGAGACAACATACAGTCTCAAAGCTGAAAAAGAGGACTCTGTCACCACAGACTTTTAGTTGTTTTACAGAAACACCTTTTTATTCAAGAAATCTGCTCTGTAAATTGTCCTAACAAAGGTCACCGCTGGAGAAATTCTCCCTTTAAAGGGAAATTCATGAAGATTTTCTTTCTCTGTATTTTTTAGGAGACTGGATTTCTCACATGCAAACCTCTCTTTGGTGTGTTTGCGTGCTCAGTTCAAATAAATGAAATACACATATGGGGTAAATGATAGCATTTGTTATCTACAGGTAACTTTTTGGCACAGAAAGACCATCTGGTGCTGAGGTAGTAGTGTAGAACGATGTGGTAGAAACACGATTTCCTACAGGAAAAAAAAAACCCAAACATGCTTCTTTTATTCTTCACACTGACCAGTAGCCCAGATGGGAAGGTTGGAAGGCACACTCGACACCCCAACAGATGGTTCTAAGTAGGGACTGGCAAAACCCAGTGCACAGAAAGTCAGACTTCACAGGAGGATTTCAACCAAGGAACATCTGTATCTTAGAAGAGGTCATGTTAGCAGCGAAGATGTCACAGGATGAAGTCCAAAGCAGAAGCAATTGTGAAGATAACCTAGTTCAGGATTTGTTACATCTGAGCAGCAAAACAGAAATGACAATGTAATTTGTAATGTCCTTCCAATGTAATGTAATGTCCTTCCTTGGATAAAGCTCCAAGGAACCCTCAGCAACCAAAATCTGCGTCACAGCTTGGGTTTCCTGAGCAATTCTAGTTTCTAGCATGATCTTCAAGAGGGTAAGGTTAGTCATCATGGAAAGGACAAATAAATAGAATTACAAAATCTGAGCAAGAATAGTCACTTAGGTCTTGGATGCAAGAAAACTACTGAACGGCTTTTTTGCTCAGAGGTAAAAGCTACCCAACTCAAACTAAATATCTTGAAAAGAACCAGTGCCTTTGTGATTTGCATGTAGAACTGAATGCAATGCAAGTCCTATCACCAAAGGATGATGCTTTTGGTAACTGGACACTGTTGTGAACTAACTGCTACTCAGTAACAGCCCAATAAGCACACGGAATACCTTAAACGATGAAGATTTGAACTTTTTGTAGTAGAGATCAAGTAATTTTGAACAACATGCATGACAAATGCAAAAAATATTGTTTGGTGAATTGAAGTTTTAGAATGCCCAAGACAGTATCTGAAAATAATGTGATGTTCACAGTCAATCTTCTCATATCTTTGGTTAGAGTGGATACCATTATTAGTGGAAAACAGTATGATTGCTTTTTTTAAAGAACATCTTCATGCAGCCCAACTGAAAGACAAACCTCTGATACTCTAATAATTGATTTCTTTTTCTTCTCCCACTTGTGAGTATTCCTGAATTAATATTCTTTTTTAAAAATCAACATATAATTTGGTTTTGAAAAGGCACTGTAGCCTTGTCCAATGTGCAGAGTATTTCCAGCTAAAAGTTCACCAGCTATAAATTAGTGTAATTCACATATAAAAATGTGTTTATGTTTACATGTTAGGCCATAAACTAGTCTCAACTTTCTTAAAAAGTAGGCACTTAAAACAACCTGCATTTGGCCAAAAATAACTCCAGCAGCACTTATCAGATCAATGCGCAGAGCTGATCATCATGTATTATCATCCCAAATTAGAAACTGAAGCTTCAGTCTTCCTTGTTCTTTCTTATTCCCCTTATTTCACAGAAAAGTGTATTGTGTTTGAAGACCACATCTCGAATTTTCCGGCAGAGTAAGTCACAGCAGCTGTCCCCTGTGTAATCTCAAATAGACCTTGTTGAATCATCTGAACCATGTGCATGTTCTTGAACAGGAAGACTCCGATACCCACTTGCTCTAAGAGGTTGCAGCTAAGGCTAAGCACCGATGCTAAAAGCTACTCATCAGGCACTGACTTACAGGAACTCTTTCTTTTGTCACACATTGTTTAACCACGAGTTGTGATGGTCCAAAATGGACAGTATTCTTCTTTGTCCTGAGCCACAGAAAACCTCCTTGGTTATTTTGATGTTTGACCAGATATATTGGTGCAGAACCCATCCTACTTGTCCCTGAGCCAAAAATATTTGTTCCAACAGTGCTGGCTGTTTCAACAGGCAGTTAACATCAGGGTGAAGCCATGTCGCTATTTTCCAGAATAACCAGGGTAAGGAGGGGGTGGGGGATACTGTATCGAAGTCTGTGGAGTTGGAGTATAAGGTGGAGGTAGATCAACTGGGTACTCCATTTCATGTTCATAATTGTACGGTGGTGGAGTCACTAAAATGGGAGAAGGAAGAAGAAGTAGTTAAAAAACAGTATTTTTTGTATGCATGCATTTTCTAGTTGACATTCAGGCTTCCATAGAACAGATATAAAGTCTACTGACTTTATATTTACTTACTATTTACTTTCTTCAGACAGTCACTATACATTCACTCTATGTCAGCACAAGTCCTTGCTCACTGCCCTTTTTCACTGCTTATCCTTGTGACCGCAGACATGCACTGTTAACAATGTTTGAGTGGCCATATGGCACATGATACCAGGATGATGCAGCAGAGAATACTGTTTTTCAGAGGAGAAAGGTTGGGTTTTCATCAGATCTCTTCCACCTCATACTCTTCATCATCAACACAGATTTATGTTGCCTAAAAACAATTATGTAGGCAGGGCCTTCGCTGATCTCTGAAACATCCTTTGGATCCCCAGAAGATGTGCGACATGCCATGTCAAACGAGGCAGAAAGTTCCTCACAGCACAGCAGCATCACAGCTTCTGGGGCAAATCTGGACATCTTTCTAGAATGCTCCCAGGTCTCAAGCTGAGGAATAACAGAGTTTTCACTTTGTTCTCTCTAAAGGAGACTTCTGAGTAGAGCCCTGTGTTCGTAAACCAGATCAGTCATTCAGGAAAAAAACCCCACAAAAATACTTGGAAATAGCTGAAAACCTTTTCTTCAATTACTTCTGCTAACCACAGAGGAGGATTAATTCATTGATCAAAAAGACAGTAAGTGCTGCAGAATTACAGTGTGGTAGGAACTGAAGACCCCATATAAAAACCCCATTACGGTACTGTATGAATTTTAAGCTTGAGTCTGCTCTTTCTCAGTTCATGTCACCACGGAGGCCTTTTATTCCCAGTAGACTGGAATCAAAATATCACTTTAACAGAAAGAAAACAGAAACCTAGGATGTTTGCACTGGGGATAAGAGACTCAAGGCCCAGTGTGGTGGGAAAAGCACTCCCTGATCTCTGAAAACCTGTCTGCCACTGTAGCTGAGGCCTAAGGAAAAGCGTTTTCTTACTCGCTGTTCTGGCAATGGAAGAGGGAAATACTGGACACAAACCTTACAGAAAATCCAGTTTACTCATTACTACAGAAGTGTTCATGACAATGGAGAAAACAGATATCATTTGGGAACTTGGCACAACTGCCAAAAAGTGCTACTGCTTGGAGGAAGAGAGGGAATGCAAAGACAAACTGCCTGGAGGTGGAGAGATGGGGGTGAGTCATAGCACATTTGGGGAGGAAAAGGCTACAGCCCCAGAGCCTTCATTTTGCTGTCATTTTTACAGCTTGTGGTGACTGCTAGATTCTAAAGTGGCTCTCCAGCAAATCATGGTAGGGAATACTGCAGTTTTATTTCATTACTCATCTCTCTATGCAAAACAATGTTGCCATGATAAGGATGATTACAGCTGGTTTTAGTTTAATGGAAAAGTAAGAGGATGAGGGAGAGAACAGACAATAAGAGCAGTGGATGTGAAGAAGGAAGACATACTAAATATTGCATAGCTTGCCCTTAAGTATACTTAATGCACCTGGGGTTTGCAGCAACCTTTGGAACTGAAGGGAATATAAAAGGAAGGTATCTCTAAGAGTGGGAGGAGGGGGGACTTCATCTATGAAAAACCACTGCCTTTTATTACAGTGAACTCTCAGTTATCCCTTGGCAGTTGCTCCTGTATTTGTAATTAATCATGTCACCAAAGCAGAGATATAGCTGTGCAGCATAAACACCGATGCTGCTCCCAGGATCAGCTTTGCTCTTCAACAATGTAGCCTCATTCACATGGTGGGAGTCCCAGGAAAATGACCTTGGTAGCCTAATGGAGAACCTCCTTTGGTGCTCCTATACCTAACACCCTCCCAAGCAGGAGCACATCTGATACTTAGAACTGACATGCACAGTCAGACCCCTTCTGTCTTTTCACTAAGCACAACAGACATCTCTGCTGCTTGCTCCAAGCTCCCACTGGTTCAGAACAAGGAAGAAAACCAATCGATTTCTCACTGGAGAGCCTCTGGCATGTGTTGTGTCCCGTCTGGCACAACACAGTGCTGCTCTGAACAGGACTTGAGTGTGCTGCTGCCATACAGCTGTGCTGATGTGACATCTGGCCAGACTTCATTAGCCCACTGACCTAACGAACCCTGTGCGCACTGAGCTGTCTTGAGATTCTCCAGCAGAGAGCCATGCCCCCTGCAGATCAGGAAGAGCTTTCACTGTGAAGCCAGGATTACCCACAGCTACACCTGCACCAGGAGCTCAGGCCCCATTTGCACCTGGCATCCTTACCCGGGTAGGTGCTGATGGTGTTGATGTGTGCTGTCCGGATGACCCCCACTCGGGTGCCACGGTTGTTCTTCATGCACATGCAGATGCAGATGGCAATCCCAGCAATCACTCCCATAATGAATACGATGCCGAAAACAATTCCAGCTATTGCCGTGCCTCTGCAAGGGGAATGGAAACATGCAGTAAGTCTCAGCCAAATAATGCTGAAAAAAGAAACAGAATTCTTTCCTCAGGAGTGGCCTCCATTTGAGCAAAAAAAAAAAAAAAAAAAGAGAAAAAAGTGCATACTGATTACTGCAAATGCTACAAATTTTGACCCATGAGGATATCTGGATAGAAGAAATGAAAGATTTTAGAGATCAAAAGGAGAGACTGTTTCGAAGTCACCTTTGTAATTGTGCCACATCACTCTCCTGACTTACTTATTGTACGTGAAATCATTCCAGGACCTTCTGCATTTAAACAATTAGATATCACCAAGAATAATTTCCTCCCTTTCTCCTCATCACACAAGATGACTTCTTCCTAAAGGCATTGGTATGATTTTCTTTCTAAAAGAAAGTGCAAGCTACTCCCAGTAATATATTCCAGAAGCATCCCAAAGTGCCTGCTTGCTGTGCTTCCACAGGAATGTTTTTGTCTTTATTTTATCTTGGGTCAAAAAGTCCTTTTGCTCTGCTTCTGAGCCCAGAGATTAAGGAGAGCCTGCTCTTCTTGAGGGTGAGCAGCAAGAAGCAAAGCAAGTGCCCATCCTTTTGCACATCTGCTGCTGCAGCCAGCACAAGTATTTGAGGCTTAAATGATTTCTTTTAAAATGGAACAAGGGAAGGAATTCAGCTCAGCCCCTGAAGTAATGAATCAGACTTTCCTTGAAATCATACAGAAAAAGGACAGGAAGCCTCATTGCACTGACACACAGGAGAAAAGCCTCACTAAGAGGCATTGAGGAGCTCCCAATAATATTGAGGGCAAAATGAGCCTTTCTCCTGAGCATACAGTTCACTGGGGTTTGCTGTTAGGCACAGGAAGTGAAACGACGTGTGAATGACAGTATTTATAGCCTGTCCTTTTATGAAACAAAGCAGTGACCTGCCAGAAATGTTCTTACTCTGTGAATGTATTCTACCAGCAAGGATTTCAGGTAGCAACCTTGCTGGAAACTTTTTTACTGGACATTTTCATACATTCAACCCAAATTGACAGTTTGGTCACCAGAAATAAGCTGCACTAGGAATTACTGTAGTGCAGAGAATAAAACAGGTACAGTAGTACCACAAAGATAAATAATGAAAGGAGTCTAAACAGTTTATCTTCTCCATATCAACATGGCATTAAGCAGCAGACCTGGCTTCAACATGTTGATAGCCTATTAGCTTCCACAGAGTCAGCAAGAGTCAGGGTAGACTCAATATGTGAAAAATCAGGATTGAAAAATCCTTTTATTTAGGAACCTAAGTATGAATTTAAAAGTTTGTTTTTATGTACCAGCTATTCACGAACTTGGATATGATTTGCAGTACAAATACAGAGTTGTACAGCTTGCTATCTTACTAAAATGCACTACTGGGGAGCTAAATCGCTCTCTGCTGTCATTTAGCAATAAATGAAGGGTGTGCAGAACAGTAAGCCTGTTAGTATTTTGCAGAATACATAAAGGTTGAACTTATGAAACGCTAAAAATGCTAACTCATGGCAGCAAGCACTTGGCCACAAAACCAGTAGCTTAAAAGCCATTTCAGAGTATTGCTGAGACCAAAGCACTTTGGTATTCACCAGTATTAACAACTTCTTACAGACATCACCACTTCCATTTCACCTTCACCAGAAGCATCATGGTGACAGGGAATGCTCTTACAGAAACACTGCAAACCATTCCTCTCCCAGGAAGAAGAAACAGAAGCAGTTACCACTGACCACTGGCCTCAGAACCTGTGCTGCACACCTGCAACCCAGGTCGGCCCTGCCAGGCCAATCTCCCAGAAATCCCAGAAAGTATAACTCTGTGCATTCCTGACTGGCTGCACATTCAGGAAAGCGTAAATTCCAGCCAAAATGTTGACACATGTGGATAATGCACAAAATTGCACACAAATATAGCTAATGTATCATGCAGTTACTTTCCAAGAGCTAAATTAAAAATTCTATCTTAATATAAGTCCAATTCAAATACCATTCAAATGAGTTTCTCAGCTGTCTCCAGAGGCAAGTTTACATGGATGCCATTTGGTTACCTGCCCCAAGCCATGGGTTGCACTAGCACCACAGCAAACATGCTTCATGCACCAGTGCTCATTAGACACCCCAGCTTACATTCTTCCTTTCCCCTTCTGCATGAACTGTTATTGCTCCAGAGCAACTAATTCCACTAATTCAAATGCGGATTCAATTATACCCTACATGAGAAATGAGAGTGCTCATAAGGAAAGGAAAAAAGACAGCAAAATGTTGGATACTATCTTCAAGAGGAGTTTTCATTGCTCCCAGGAAGTTACTACTTGACAGCTTGCTTTGGGTGACAGAAGTGAGAACTGAGGCCTTCCTTGCAGCCCTGCAGGTTCCCCTGGTCTCCGTTGTGCAGAGCTAGTTGATCAGCCCTGCTCTGTCCCTGCACAAAGGCATGGGCAGGGCAGGACACAGCTGCAAACAGCCCGCCCATGTCTGCCTGCATCTGAAATTCAGAAAGAGCTAAGTTTGGCTCCTATGTGCATATGCCTGAAATCCATCGGCAAAGCTTCTAAGCCTGAGAAGGCCTCTCAGTCTAAACATAACTTCTGCCAGGCTAGAGAGCCTGGTTCAGTAAGCAAATTAAGGAGTAACAGCTAACTGATCTGGGTGCTGGTCTCCAGCGTGGCTCCTGCTGGTACAGCTATGCACTGGAACCAAAAACGGTCACCAAAGAAAATATTCATTTGCTCAGCTCTGTTGACAAAGCTAGTAAGTGCAAGTCTCGTTTGCTGCTCTGAAACCAGGACAGAAAGTGGTTTAAATAGCCAGGCCTACCGCTGCTCCCACATTCATGTTTTCACACCGCAGTGGTAAATTTAGACCATCCATGGGCAGTTACGCAAATGGAGGCTGAGATACAGAGAAGGAGATGTAGGTCACTTTTTAAATCCGGCTGCAGCCTGACTGAGCATCAGCAGAGAGGCATTTGCTGGCTTTGGTGGGATCCTAATCAGAGCCGGAGTAACACAGGTTGAACTGCTACAGCTACTGAGTGCTCTACTTTAAGGGGCACTGGTGGGGATGACATGGGGAGACGTGCTCCGACAAGGGAGCACTGGCAGTGACTGAGTCACACGCACACTCTGATGCAGGGATCTTCAGCAATCTGCCCCTCACAACAGCTCTGGTAAAACCCTGTGATGATATTTTCCATTTTATCTCCACCACAAAGCTTTTCAAGGGAATCTGCCTAAGGGATAAAGGACACTGTAGAGCAAAAGAAGACCTAGAAACCACACAGCAGAGTCACATAGCAACTAGGAAGTTTGAAACTGAGGGAAAACTTTGAAATGGAATAATTTAAAGGAAAACATTATGCAAAGTCATTTACAGAAGCAAAAGCATAGGATTAGAAAAAATGCCAGAGAAGAACAATGCACAGAAAAGAGGGAGAGGGGAGAAATAACTTTTAAGTGTGGAAATGTCAGGAGAAATTGTCAGGGTAAAAATCACATACAAAGAAGCAGCTTTAGGTGTGTTTCTAGCAACATCTCACAGGAAAGAACATAAATATCATTTATGGCTTAATGCTGCTGGTCAGAGTGAGCCCTGTGCAGGGGATCAGAGCCATGGAAGAGCTGGAGCCAAGCAGAGGGCATGGCCACGGTGCCCAGGGACAGATGTGTCATTGCCTGCTGGGCCTGGTGACCTGGATGTTTTTACACAGCTGACAGGGCATCACCAGCTGCTGCTCCAGCCTGGGAGGGTTGACATGACCAGAGACCAGGAGAGAAACTGAAGAGCAGCTCTGTTCCTTCAGGTCTTACCATGCAAAAATGAAGTTCACCTGGTACCACTTTCCCCTTCAGAAAGCTGGAGATTTGGGATGTAGGCAAGCAAAGTGGATGAAAAATTTGCTCAGATAAGCACTGTATCCAAGGTCATCTCCACCTTGGGCCCTAAAAATCTTACAGCTCAACAAGTTAATGCTTCCAAAAGGAACCTTAGGAATCTACTTTTAAATGTATGACCAAAATCTGTGAGCCAAGTCTCCATAGCCTGCACTGCTACATGGCATGGACTTCCTAGTTTGTTGTCATCCTTATATTGCTATGGTTTCTCCTTCTTTGGCTCTGCCCTGACTTTACATATGGTATTGCCTGGAGCATAACATTTTGCCTGGAAGCCTGGCTTATTAGTACAGAACTTCAAAGATGAGGTAAAACCTTTCCATCACCTTTTTCAGAAGGCCCACAGACCATAATGATGTCCTCCAAACATGATGATGGGGGCCAGGTTTCAGTATGTGCATCTACCAGTATCCTCACCAGGCAGCACCCCTGGGTGCCTCCCTGGGATCGGGTGCTGTCTGATGCACTGCTCACCATCCCTATCTCTTTGTCTTCAAATTGTGCATGTGCATGTGTTGTTGTTCACAAGCAGGTGTTTTCTCTTGATTTCTGTTTCCTTCTGCTCTCTCCCTCCCTGGCAAACCTTTAAAGGCTTTCTTAATCTGGAAAATGCAATAGGAGCAAGTAGCCAAAAAGATGCCTACAGAAGACTGAAAGAAAAATGCAAAAACCTGTGTTTCCCTTAGCTTCCACTATTGTTTTGCAGTTCAACAACTCTCTAATCCAGACACATACGTTCATATTTTAACTAAATCCCTTTCTGCACTTCCCATTATTTTACAGACCTTTAGCATCACACCTGGAAGCCAGCTCCCCCCATCCTGCAGGAGCCCTATCATGGTTACCCTGCATATGGTGAATTTGATCATTCTGGTCACCCGCACTTGCCCTTCTCATCCTATTCTTTTGACTTTTAAGGAGTGCATGCAGCAGTCAGGATGGAGCAGATGCATGTACTGTAGTAGGCGACTGCTACTATGAACAATGTACTACACAGAGGCGTATTAAATTTTCTGGTTTGTTCTCTATTTTTTTCTTAGATAATCCATGGTATCGGATCAGGCTGTCAAACGACTGGGAGA